CAGCAGCTGCTGCAAACACTAGGAGGGTTTTTTTTCCCAATGGATTTGCAATTTGGACATTAAAAATACAATTTGAGGCTTAAACTTGGTATACCAAATCTTAGCACAAAACTGACTTTTTCAGTTTCTTTCTGCTTTAGTATCTCCTGTGGAGGAAAAACCAATCGTTTGTGTTTTCTTAAATGTTACTGACTCAATTTCCATTAGAGAGAAAAAGTCATACTTAATCTAAGATCTGAAGTTCTGGGCTTCTAGTTTTTAACCTACACTTGCTAATACCTTTCTTGGTGTTGTATGCAATAAAAATGAGTACAGAGGGCTTGATTTACAGAGTGTATCAGTAACATTCTTAACATAGTAATACACTGAATTCATACATTGAATAAATCTTGGAAATTAATTGGGAAATATTTGTTTCTTTCTCAGAAATCAGAAAAGAATGAATTACTGAGATGAAAGGTGGAGATAATCTCTGCACAGCACAGGCAATTACAATCCAATTGATTTCTCACTGTGTTTTTTCTTGCATAAAAGCTGGAGCTCTCCATCAGGCATCAACAAAGCAAAATCAAAGCTGAGACCTTTTGGGACATTTAGGAAGCTATTGCACAAGCAGCAGTCTGAAATTAAAGCACACTAAAGCATACAAAATTATTTTAGAAGCTCCACACAGTCTTTGAATCTCTCATGAGCAAGGAGAATGGTGAGGAGCCTCACAGGGAAATCTTAATGAGAAATGAGATGTGTATTTCTTGTCCTTTTGCATTGAGGTTGAAGGGAGTGATTTGAGCTGCTGATCTGTTTCATGCCAGATATTGCACAACTTTAAAAGATGCTGAGAAAGCTAATAGAATGAGTATGGCCATTTATCCATAGCCAGATGATAAGATCTAGCCAAAAAAATAAGTGTTCTATGTCTTGCTAAATTGAAATAACTTGATATTACGAAATGCAGTAATTATACTTGCCAAGAAAGAAAGCAGATTCTCCCCACTCAGTAACTGGCCTGGTGGGTGAAGACCATCTCACAGGTGAGTGAGCAAATGCAGCTCAATACATCAGCATCCTTGAGCAGGAGTGCATTGGAGTCAGGCAGGGCAGAGACAGCCAGAACACTGCTGATTCACTGATTCTGCCTGCTGCACAGCTCAGAGTTCTGAAGACAAACAGTAAGAAGAATACAGATTTTGTTTGCATGTGGCAAGGAGCTGGATACGCCAGGTTACCTATCAGTTGAAATCTCATTTAGCAGATTCACCGTTCCCATTTTGGAATATTCTGGTGAAGTATTAATGTTCCAGGGGAAAAAAGCTATTGAATTTGAACCGTGAAATTGCCTTCATTTAGCACTTCCCTGAAATATTAAATTTCTGTTTCCTATGTTCCCAGGGGATTTATTCTGTATTCTTTCAAAAGGAAAAGATCTTCCTTCTGTAGATCTAATTATGATATTTTTTCACTTGTAGAAATTGGCAATATCTCCAGTGAATTTTTATGTAATTTAGGGAATAGGTGCATTTTTTCCTTTAATGGTACCAGAAAAATTCAATTAAATTTGTTTCCTGTTTAGAGCTGGCTCTGAATGCCCTGACAAAATCCCTCTACAGATATTCTCTTTTACTGCTACTGAAAAATTCCCATTCCATTAGAATGACCATTTTCTCCAGGCTCAGAAATACTTCTTTCAACCAAAAATATCCATGCCTGAAGCTCCAGTTGAGAGATAGAATAAGTGTCTGCTGACACATGTCACCAGTGCAACAGAATCAAAACTAGAAGAGAGCAGGTGCTATAGTGCAGAGCTATGCCTGGCAGTCGGAAAATAGAAAATTGCCAAAAACATGGCTGTCTAGATATGTGTTATAAAAAGAGATGAACTGCACATGAACTTCAGGACTTGTTTACAAAAACAAGCAGAGCTGCAGGGTACTACATGCCCTTCTCCTTAGTCACCTCAGAATCTGATAGGTGAGTAGGAGACTTCTAAAGGCATCAGTATCAGGGACGTAGTTGCCATTGGCTTACATTTCTGTCTCTGATTTAATGCCAGGGGAAGTGATATTCAAATCCAGCTTTTGCCATTACACATGCAGTTGCCTATGGGGAAAATTACGGTGGCTCTATTTAAAGTAAACATCTAAAGTATCTGCCACCGATTTCCAATGTAACCTTGGAGCAGTGACATGACATAACACTTAGCTGGCTCTGTTTCTCCTCTGAGGTATATCCTATTGCAGAAGCACACACCAGTAAGAGGAGACAGAGTTTGTATTCCCTTCTGCCTGTTTCCTGTTGTATATAGCCACTCCCAAGGTATATATACCAGGATTATCAAGGTGTACATCATTCAGGAATCTTAATGGTGAGGTTGGGTGGATTGCAGTGGTGTCAGTCCTCTTCTTCCTTCTTGTCAATAGCTTTTGTGGCCGTGGCAGAATGGGTGTGCTATAACCAAGCTGTTGCAGCCAAAGATGCCCTGAAGTAGTCTTCAGTAGATTTTATTAGCCACTGCCTTGAGTATATGATCAGATTATAACTCATGCTAAAACTCATGCTGCTTTGTCTCCAGTCTTGCATGATGAAGAGAAATTTAGCGGTCTTGCTTAAAATGCCTTTGCACCTTTTTTTTTTTTCTTGAGGTTCTGACTTTTGACCCAAGCAGTGCTGGTACCAGACATGGACAAAATATATTTTTCCTGTGGAAGCAATATGTTGGATGTAATAAGCCTACAGTAGTCTTCCTGTGTATTTCATCTGTGCCAGATACCAAGAAGCTACATTTGCTGCTTTGTCTACTGATGCTGGAGGAGGGGCAGTCTCTATTGAATAATTTCTTATCCTCAAAAGCAGAATTCTCTACTGCTACACTTAAGGGTATATAGAACAATGACACCATGTTTTTACAACTCACTTCATGTTTTCTTTATCTCACCTTTTCCATATAAGGATGAATTTAATGTGTTCCTTTGACCTATGGGGTGTGTCCAGTGCTTATCTCCCAGTGAGCCCCTGAGTCTCACACATTTCTAATTCCTCACACTGACAGAAATGTAGGCGTTTTCCTGACTGAGAACTCAAGCCTGGGATTTAGCCCATTGTTTTATTTATTTTTACTAGTTTTACTTCAAAGAGTCCACGTAGCAAGACAAGAGGCATCGAGTTAGCAATATTAAAGACACAAGAATGATAGCCCCTGTTGATGGATAAGAGTAAAAAAACATGTCTGAAGAGTCTGCCTACATGTGCAGTAGTGCAGCTGTGCTGGCTTCAGGGAGGAGGCAGTGCGCTGATGCCTGGCCTCCAGCTGTGGGCTCAGTTCTGCCCCCAAGCACTCCGGCTTCTCTCCCAGCCATGTCAGCTGGCCCTTGAGACCTAACCTCACAAAAGAAAGTCATACTGTTTCTTTAGATTTAAATACTCAGAGTTTAGAGTCTGGGGATTTTCTTCAGGAACGTTCAGTTGTGTACTTGGGGCACATTTGTTCAATTTTTAGATAATCTTTACAATTTTCACAAATAGCCCAAGTCCCATTATTTAAGTTACATGGGAGCAGAATAAGCACCCAATTAATGTATTTGCTGAGACTTACAGCTAGACCATATAAGGAGAAAAAATGTGTTTTCCCTGTAACCGGGTTTGGTATTTACTATAAAATGCACCCAGAGTTCAAATCTTTATACTGGATTGTATAATGGATTTTGTCAGGTAAAAACTTACTGTTCTAATGAGGAGGGTGCTGACTAAGCAAAGGCTGTGTGAATCCTCATATCGTGCTCTTTTTCTCACTGATCCTCTTGTCATCAGCTGCACTGCCCATAGAAATATGTTCCTGCTTAGGGCATTCCAAGTCATCCATCTGACAGCAGGATTTGTCCAGTTTTATGCTGCCTCAGTGAAGTATTTTGTGGCCCTTCTCCAGGCACACATGGGGCAAAATGTTCCCTGAAAGGTAAATTTGCCACCTGTCTCAGCTGCTGTCTGCAGACACACCCAAGCACGAGTACCAGCAGGACAGTGTGTGCGAAGCTTTCCCCCAGGGTCTCTCTCGGGCTGCCAAAAAATGGGAGCAGTTTAACTCTCGGTGCAGCAGGAGAGTTACTGTGGTGGTCAGAGACCTGAGGAGCGAGCTGGGCTCCTCCTGCCTGCGGCTCAGCAGGGGGAGCAGCTGACTTTTGCTGCTCTGGCTTCAGGGTCTCCTGTGGACTTTCGCTTGCTGGATTGCTTTTGTCACGCTCCCTTCCCTCATCCCATGCCAACACTTGCTGTGGACACTCCTAGGGATTTATATCCAGCCCAAGGTGTTTTTGGACCTTCTTTACCAGCCTTGTGCCAGAGATGATTTTCCCTGTTCAAGGGAGATTCTTCGTCCAATTTCAAGTGTTTTGCTTTGCTGAGATACAAAGTGAATTAACAGACTGTGGAATCTGATCCAGAAACATTATAAAGTATCAGGAATATTTGGGTATATCCCAAAGAAACCGTTACTGCCATTCCCAGAATGCAAGACAGTCAAGACAGTAGGATTACACAGTGCCCAATAATTCTGCATTTCATAACTGAGAGCATATTTAGAGTACAGAAGGGGATTTTAGGGAGGAGTGGTCTGCTTTTAGCTCTTTAAGATAGCTGTTAACCAACAAAATCACTGCTTTAAACAAAACTCCTTTTACAAAGCAGTTAAGCAGGATCAAGTTGCAAAGCTCAAAATGATCATACTAAAAAATATAACCCTGAAAACTGGGTCTGAAGACAGCAAAAAAATCTTCCTTTACAGCATAGACAACAATAAAAGAAACCTAAAATTGCCTATTGTCACAGCTTTGATATTAACACTAGCTGCTTCGGCAAGCTTTAAAGACTGGACTGAACTATAAAACCTAAAAATGTCCCGGACTTGGAGTTGTTTACACAAAATATGAGGAGATATAAAGTTACAAAGCTGGGGGTTGGAAGAGATGGCTTTAAAACCATCCTCCGTGCACTGACGTCACGTGGAAGCCAGCTGCGGGGATGATGCTGAACGGAACTGTTTTCCAGTTTGCAAAAGTTGAGCATTTATTCAAAGAGACTTGCAAATGCTGCCCCAGTTGAAAGGTTGTGTCTTGCTTAGCTTTCTTACTTCTTTTAAAGATCAAGATTCACAGAACAGGATCCCTGCTAGCTGTGTGTTTCATTGCTTTCTCTGCTGCCTGGAAATGGACTGAAAAACTCCTAAAGGATTTCTTATTCCATGAAAGGTATGGTTGCAGTTTATTTTAAATCAATGTTTTTGAACAGTTAAGATTAAAAAAGAAGGCAAATTTCTGATGTGGCAAACAGTTATTTAAATATCCTTTTTAATGTTATCTATATGTAATGTGAAGTTCATATGTGTTATATATGGTCTTTATTCTTAAAGTTCAGTTAGTTTTTTCAGTGCAGGCAGAGATATATTAACAGAACAGAGATGACAGCATATGCACTTGAATCCTTTCTTTCTTTCTTTCTTTCTTTCTTTCTTTCTTTCTTTCTTTCTTTCTTTCTTTCTTTCTTTCTCTTTCCTTGCTTTTTTCTTTTTCCCTTTTCTTTTTCCCTTTTCTTTTTTCTTTCTCTTTTTTTTCACTTTCTCATTTCTTCCTGTTTTCTTTCCCTTCTCTCACTCAGCTGTACTTTCTTTTAATGTATAAAGTGCATGTTATTGTGACACATGGCACACATTTATAATTGAGCAAATACATATGTTTACAATTTTCTTAGTCATCCAAAATACAGCACTTATTTGGAAATATAATTTGATTGCATTTTCTTCTGTAAAAAAAAAGGGTAGATTTGTGTATCTGAATGATTATGCACATCCAATCTGATTAAACTCTGGTGAGAAATAATTTCTCAGCTGATGTCAAGCTGATTATTTTCAGAAGTTGCTAGAGGTTGTTTGCAAAGTGTCTTGCATTTTTAATATCTGGCTAGAAAGGGTAAGATATGGGGGAATAATGACTAACATCAAATAGTGGCTTAAAACATTTTTTTGCTTGAGAAGAGGAAGGGTTAAAGGAAAAGTTAAAGCATAATGCAGCTGATGCAGACAAAATTGATTATTTGCTTAATTTGATTGCTATAATGAGCTTCTGACCTTGTCTAGGACATGGAGAAATTGCCAATACTGCAAGAGCACAGATATTGTTCTGATCCGCAGAGCAAATGATAATGTGACATTTTGCATGCCTTGGGTTGCTTTAGCCATGTGAAATACCATGGGGAAATCTCAATGCACTATACACACAGAGGGTTTATTACCAGGACTGCACATTGTACTCCACCAAAATAACCCCAAACAAACTCAAAGAAAACACCAAGAAAAAGTGGGGGCAAAGAGAAGTAGAAATGGGAGTCAAAGTCTCTGAGGAACTGATCCACTGTACAATAGCAGCAAAGCTGTATAGTCATCCAGCTGCTAACATCAATAAACATGAGTTTTCTTCTCAGAATTTATGTCAAGAGGAAATCAGAGAAGCCTAAGAAACAATACAAGCCTTTTGTGAAACTTAGAGCTACAAGTGACCATCTGTAACTTCTGTAATTATCCTCTTTCGAGACTTGATTTCTTTCTGACTGTCTTGAGTCTTTTTTATAATCAGAGTTCCATATGAAACAATTTGAAAATTGTTAAGATGAATGCCAACACGGCAATAGTAGTTTCCAGCACTAAGGGAACACCAGAGGCCTTTTCAATGCTATATTCATGCTTGAAAGGAGTACATATTATATCTGTTCTTACGTGTGTAAAAACAAATAGGCTATGCAGTATTGACCTTTCTAGTAATATGTGGCTGAGTAAAGCATGGTCATTATTACTAATAGTGCACTAGCAAAATCACCATTTGTGCAAGTTGTTGACAGATTATGTCTGCCTGTCTTGTTCATGACTGTACTACATTTACACATGGGGGTTTTTAATTTTTTTTTCTGATGTGTATTTGTATAAGGATTATAGTGGAGCAGAGAGTTGACTTCTGTTTATTTCTCAGAGGTATTCTGAAAGGTTATAAAGACATAAATGTACAAAAAAAAAAATCAATGGCAGTGCTAAAAACTGCAACCTTTGAATTGGCAAGGTGAGAAAGTACTGCAATATTCCTAAAGTTCATTAGCAATAGATGTTTAGATTGCAATGGATCTTAAGTGTTACAGAATTTTTTTGCAAGTTGTTTTTGGTCAGTGCTTACTGGAGTCTGGCACAAAGCTGAAACACTGGCCTGGAGAGGTGCAGTCTCTGCAGCCTGGCTGCATTCCCTAAGAGGCCGTGAGCAAACCAGTACTTGGCTTCTTTTTTGATGAGAATTCTGTGCTGTCTTTCAGCAGCTCCTAGTTTCAAGGTGTTTTATGGTTTTATGGAGTTGCTCTGTCTGTTTTTAGGCAGGGGAAAGAAGAAGGGTTTGAAATCTGTTTGTAGGTAGTTGAGGGACAGATTGTCATTTCAGAGCTCCAAGGCAGGCACTTGGGGTAAACTGTACTGCAAGCCCTGAGTTAGGGCTGGGTCTGTGGTGGCTTGGGAGATCCTGTGGGAGGACTTCTATGACCCAAAGACCTAAGTAACCTGTTGGGTTTCATCTGAGCTCTTCTGCTTACTTGTACATGAAAGAAGCTGACTCTTAAGTTTGACATTGTCTTCCCAGTCAGCTGAAATAAAGCAGACACAGTAAATGGTGATTACATGGTAACCACAGCTAAATCAACAAGACGTGCTGGTAACATAAGGGTTGGGGAAGAACTTTGCTCAGGAATGAATTTTTACTATATCATAGAAAATGTGGACAGTAAAATCATCAGTTCCTATGAGTTGACAATCATTGATCATCAGTCAGGCAAATGAACAAATTGCAGAAACATAAACTGGGCTTACTCCTAGGTGACTCTCTGATAATTCAATTGCCTACCTATTTGATTTCTGCCAGGAGCAGAAAGCAATGCAAAGGCATTTTATTACTAGAACTAGATTCCATGACCACCTATGTAGCACAACAACTGGCTTTGAGAGCTGAAGTTAACAAACTCAAGCACCAATGCCTCTGTACCAGGCATTATATCACAGGAGCCATCATAGTGGAATGAATGAGTGTTATTTCAGACTTGCTGGCTTAGTAAATGTGCTGATGGTAATGGGGTTTCTAGTGTAAAGCCTAAGAAAGCAAGAAGAAGCAAGAGGATCACCAGGCCCATAAGATTTGTAACTGCTTTGCTCCAGTCACATAAGCAGATCTAAAATATTTCCCTTAAAACTTGCCAGTTTAGTGGTTCAATTAATATTTTTTCATTTGCAAACACTAAGATGCTAAAGACTTCTAAAGGGGAAGAAGAAAGTGAAGCACTAATTAGTCACATATTCTAAGAAAGGTTTTGAACTAGACTGGAGTTAGTGCTGTTGAAAAATATTTTCTCGTTTTCCCTATGCTGATCCTGAAACTAACATTTATAGACCTAGATCTGTAAATCCAAAATTCTTGAACCCTTTTTGGTGACCTTCTGTCCCTTCTATATAAACAATTTCTACTGTTTATGTGTTTGTACCTGTTATTAACTTTCCTGTCCTGTCTTTCTTCATGAATTCCAGAGCATTCATGTAGCCACGGGAATTCCCTGAGTGTATCAAGTTTGCAGTCCTCAATTGCCAAAAGAATGTACCAGTCCTTGTCGTGCTCCTTGCATGCATGCAGGGAGTGCGTGAGCAAACATGATACTTTTACAGTTGTCTTTTGAACAAATATAAAAATAGCTTTCACCCCCAAGGGCAGATAGTGCAGGATCCCAAGGTCCTGAAGTGCCATTCAATATTGTACAGACCCAAGTTCATTGAAAACACATTTATAGTGAAGAGGAACAGCAAAGATACAAAGTGATCATGGTACAAAGCCTGCTGTGGCAGATGTTACTGAATGCTGTGATGCTGAATGTGTTCCACCTGCCCTCTCCAGACTGGGCATCTCTACCTTTGGGTTTATGTTCTATAATGCTTAGTTCATCCATATTTGAGTCACACTCTAGACAAATATGAATAATACTGTCTCCTGCAAGCTCATTTCAGTTATTAATTTTGGGAATTTTCTTGATTATCTTTGTTCCCTGAAAGCTAAAATAAAATATAAGTAAGACTTATTCTCTTAAACTTCCAGGAAACATTCACGGAAGAAAGAAAAAAAGGAGAGCTGTCTTTGCTGTTGTGCAGACTTTAGCCATGGACCTGCGTGGACAACTGGAGAATACGGAGAGGAGCTGGAATAAAGAAAAAATGGAATTGCTGGAGAGATTTGACAACGAAAGGAAAGAATGGGAATGTCAATGGAAGGTCATGCAGAAGAAAATAGAAGAGGTACTTTTAAACAAAAATCTGAAAACTACCATTTTCACTGGAGTGAAGTGACATTGAGTCACTTCAAATTTTTTTCTATGTTTTATCCTAATTCTTATGTGTCACTGGAAGTTTCTAACAGCTGATGGAAGGATGAAAATCCTGGGATTAAGCAGTATTTGCAATTGCACATTTAATAGTCATGAATACAAGGTAGGAGGTGAATGTGGCTTTGTGAGCTCTGAGATTATTGGCTGTATGTACTGCTGACAATTCAGTCATGGGCATGAGCCATGTTGCCTATATTACACATGCTTTTTTCAAGTAAATACTGAACAATATGGGGTTTAGAAAGTGCATATTTTGTAACAAAAAAATTAGGTATCATAATTCTCTAGCAAAGAGGCTTAGATGGCACAGGTCTGCCAGGGCAAATGGTAATATTAAAAGTAATATATATGAGAAATGCTGCATGACACAGAATTATTCAGGCTAGAACTTGTTCCTTTTATGGATGACTCTTGGGAGAGAAAACAGGTACAGTAAATAGCATGAAAGTTCTGAAACCACTTGTGTTTACACATACTAGCAAACAGACCCTGCTATTTGCAGTGCATCTCCTTCCAGAAATAGTCACAGCAATTATTTATTATTCTTTTATCCTCAAATTGTCCCTGCAGCCAAACCCTCTGACACTCTCTAATGCATTAACTGAGTCTGCTTGGCAGCCTGTAGAGGCAAGTTTTTTCACTAGTGAGCTTTCCACATTTTTCATCTAATATACATATGGAGTAGTTTCACTTGCTCTCTGCCAGCACTGTCGTGTGGCTGAGCAGCCCAGGAATGTATGGCAGAGACTTCTCACATGAAACTGAGAAGGAAAATGGTCAGGGCCAAAGGAATGGCAGCCATACACTGCCCATTAAACCAGCCTGCAGCAGACCTCCATAATGTCAACTCTCTTATATTTTACCCACAATTCTTGCAGACTTTGGTATGATAGTCTTTGCCACATTTTGTCTTTTGTATTAGGACTTTTCTGTGCAGTCTTCCCTAATTTCACTGCCAAGCTGAGAATGCTTCAAAAGTTAGTAATGTGATCTGTATATGTAGTTAAATTTAATTTTCTTAGGTATAAGAGCTGATTTGGAATAAAAAGGTATTCTGGCTATTAGCAGACCTGACAATGTCAGCAAGGACTGTTTTCATCATGTGCTTTATTAGCACAGAGATTAGGAAAGCATGACAGAGACAGAAAAAGAGATAAAGAATGGAATGGGGCTAAGGGGAAGAGAATGAAGCAATTTGCTGGCTACTGCAGGACCAAACAAAACTACAGATTATACCTCAAGGTTATTGGAATCCTAAGGTCCCCTCTTAAGCTGTGACTATAGCTGCTGCTGATTTCAGATGCCTGACATGTCTTCTCCACAAGCCACATGTCTGGAGAAAAGGGGAGATAGATACCTTTTAAATGCCATTATCTGTAGAAGGATTTCTCAATAAAACTTGTGCTTACTTATCAGCTTGTATTTTAATCTGACAGTTTTCTCTAGCCCACCAAACCTAACTTAATTCCTCCAGAAAGACTTGTGGGGTTTAGGAGATATTATGGGGTGGTAGCTTTCCTTCTTACAGGTATACTGAATCCATATGAGGCTCTTATTTCTTGGAAATGGCAAAGTTCAGCTCTCAGTTTCCATGAGCAGCTGGGCTTTGGGAGTGAAATCTGAAAACCCAGGATGAGGTCAAGTGTTAAGTCTCTGAACGTGAGAATACTTCTAATCCACAGCACTACCCATGAAATGGCCACATGTTCTGCATGTTGTTATTCTTTTCCACTGTCCTTCCAAAAGCTGTTGTGATGGCCTTGTGCACTGTGAGAGGGCAGGCAGATGGCTGTTCAGAGGTGCCTGTGTGCTTTCTTCGCGAGAGCAAGTTAAGAATGAATGTTTATACAGAGCTGTTGGATTCTTGGCACTGGAAATTATACTGTAAGCAGAACAGATATTTATGATGTTGCCATTTTTTCTAATTTATAATTTACCGCAGTTCCTAGTTTGAATTTGCTGGGTGACAAGAATTAACACCATTTACTAATGAAGCCACTGGAACTCAGCAGATAGCATGAAAGAAGAAGGTAACAGCACATTGCCAAATAATACCATTCTTCAATACTGATTTATCACTCCAGTCATAGGGAAGAATTCCACTTGTCTGAGAACTGAAAGAGTGTGCTCTAGTGCAGATGGCACTGTATTTTATGAGAATTCACTTCCTCTCCTTCAAATAATATGTTTTAATAGGCTGTAACATAGCCAGAACACTCTCTCTCTGTCACATTCCCCTACATTCCCTATCCATCACATAACAGTTATGTCCACCACAGAGTGTGCTGATATTACTTGGAAAACTACCATGCATCTTTTGGCCCAAGGCAGGGCCAGTTATCTCGTGAGCTCTCTTCCAATCCCAACCATGGGTGGGAGCCATACATTAAAATTGTGGCAGAGAGTTTGAGAATGGTATCAGCCTTATCCTGTGGCAATCCTGGTGTTTGAGTTGTCACACTAGGTGACTCAGCTCTTTCCTACTAACACATCTAGAATCTTTCTAATCAGTGCTGCTGAGTCATGCATCATTCAAAACAGAAGATAAATATGTGGGCTTTGCCATAAAGCTCATTACAATACCATGATTTAATAGAAGGTTCTATTGTCTTTTCAGCTTTACCAGGAGGTAAAACTTAGAAGGGAGAGCAATATGACTGTCCATGATAGCAAGGCCATTCAGAGCAAGCTGCAGCTGTCCATGCATTCCCCTACCTTGCAAGAGACTGACACAGCGAAGCTGCACCATCAACACAATGTGGCAAACGACAGAATGGAGAAAGGGAGTCTGCTTGGTATAACAGGACACGAATGGAAGGAGCCCAGAGACACCAGCAGAAACAATATTCTGTTAGTGGACAATCTGGCCTTTGAGAACCACAAAAAACCTGAAGACAGCCTCACCATTAAAACTTCGGAGCAGAATACCAAGAATTATATAGGTGATCTCAATGTAGTAAGTAAAGTATGAGCATGTTTCAGTTGCAAGGGGGAGGAAAACACTGAGGACTTTGGCCTGCCAGGTTAAGCTAAAGAACTGATCTCCCTGATTTTAGCTTTCCACAAGTCACTGTCTCTACTTGCTCCTAGGTTTGCTATCAATGAGTGTCTTCTCACTGTTTGAATGTGTTAACAGCATGCTCTTTACCTGTCTTCATAAGATGGGGGCATTTTTGTATCTTTTCTCGTACTACCTCCCTCTGCTGTGAATCTTAAAGGCAAATGACCACAAGTTTCAAATTAATTTTGGAGATATAATTTTAAATGTATATATTAAAGGCCTATTTTTGTATTTATAAAGGCTCTTAAAGAACTTGCCAGAGTCAGTGAAGAATTATGCAGCTACCAAGAGGAAATTCGAAAGAAGTCAAATCACAGAAGGTAAAAACATCTTTGGACTTCTTATGTTAGAGGAAGGAAATGAATAATTCTCCTTATGCTTTTCGCTTTGAAGGCAGGTTTGCTGTTGGGTTTATTAGTTGGGCAGTTCCTGCCCTCCTAGCGTTTCAGTGTTCTGCATAAAATATTCAAATGAAATAGGTTGAAATATGATACAAAGGCAGGTTTTACCAGCAAAATGGATTTTATATACAGAACATACAAATTCAGATTAGTGTTTATATGAGATAAAATTGTATTTGTTTTTGATGGCTGTACAGAGGATTGGGAAAGTAAACAGATATTTCTGTCTACTCTGGCCCCATTGCCATGTAGTTTTATACATTACTATATGGGTTTGTCAGGCTGGGAATTTCTTACTTAAAGCCCACATCTAGTCTTAAGGGACACATGGGGGTTGTGTCAGGAGCTGATGATCCAAGACCAGAAAGAAAGCAAGAGAGGGAAGAACCACCATACCTTTGTACTAATGGAAAGATGGCAAGTCAGACCCTGAAAGTATGGCAAATGAACATTCCATCATCTGTTAAAAATTCAATGTTCATTGTCTTCTCTAGCAAGCTACACACCAGACTGCCTCTTGAGTTTGCAGAAATGCTCAGGTAAAACTGAACCTTCTCAGATGCTCCCAAAGGTCAGAGGATTTCTCAGACTCCACCATGTGATCAGTTAAAAGTCTGTCACTAATTCATTATTTTAGCTGGGCTACTCTTTGTATCTTTAGAGCAAAGGGATTCATAGCTGATGCATAACTTTTATAGATGCTTTTTTATCATATATCAAAAGGCAGATCTCATGTGTAAGGTTATGAACCTAAATGAGGGATACACTGTGTCCTACAGCTTTCTTCATTTAGTTCATAGTCAGGTAGACTCGTACAAGTCATTAAAACAAGATCCTACTGTACTTACTGTAGCAGAGATAAGAAGAGTCATCATCTAAAAAACTCAGAAGAAGAATTTTAGTGGCAAAGGAAAGGAATGCAAATTTCTTTTGTTGACCTTTCCTCAAAATTTTTGTGTGTGTTTCCGTTGTTGTGGGTACATCAGCTGCAGCAAAACTGCTCCCAAACCTTTTTAAGTAGCCAGTGTTAAAACACCTGCTCCTGGGGAGAATTAATCCATGCTGAGATCCTCTGTAATGTTCCTTATTGCTCATCCCTAAAACACCTCTTCTGTTATTTCCAGAATGAAGTCACTTCCTTTCCTGGGGGAATTTGAGGAAACCCAAAACACAGTTATTCTGCCTGAGATGAACCATGTGTCCAGCAATGAATCACAAACTTCAGTTGCTTTTGAAACAGAGGAACATAATAATAGGAAGAATCTGATGAGCTCCACCAAGGCTTTGAAGGACATTTCTTATGGTAGTCTTACTGGTGGCATAGGAACAGATTTCAGTCCCTGGCAAAAGAAAGAAGCTCCACCAGTTCCTCCACGGAGCACTTCTCGGCACCTAACTAACTCACTTTCTGCAGTCATACAGCTTTCAGAAGCACCCATAAGAGATCCGGACATCAAAAGCAATTGCAAGGCTCAGGGTTGTTGGAATGGGGGGAAACTGAGGAATCCTTCACCTGTAAACAAAAATAAATCTGCAGTAGCCTCTGCAAATGAAGGGCAGGCTGTGAAAGTCCCTGTAATGGTAACTGCTGCAATACCTGTAACCAAAAATGAGTGCAATGTTCCAACAAATTTCTGCCACAACACATGGGCATATGATATGGGCAAGCTTGGAAAAGACAACAAAAATGAGCCTTCCCCACTGTCAGCCCAAAAGAGTTGTTCAGATGGAAATATGGCCCAAAGCAACAAGATGCATCAGAAACAAAACACCAAGTCTCACAGCAGCCCTTTTTACAGTAATGACTTTTATGCCCCTGCTACCTCGCACAATGATCTTTTGGAAGACACCAGGCATCCTTTGGGAAAGACCCAAAGGAATGAAACGCTAGCAGCAAAGATTGATGAGTTTAATCGGACTGTATTTCACACAGATAAACGTAACAATGCTCTGCAGGAAAATCAGGTGCCTCCAACAGCATCAGAAGATCACAAGCCCTGTGTGACTCTGTGTGACTCTGCTACTAGCAGGGCAGAAACTGTGAATACATCTTGTGCTTCAAATCCCAAGCTGTCTGCAACAAAGGAGCAAGAAACTAACAACCCCAGCAAAGCTGTCAGGACAGCAGGGCAACAAAAACACATGAATGGACTTCCAAATACTAGTGGTTACAGGCACATGCTTCACGAGCATGACTGGAGACCAAGTAATTTATCCGGCCGCCCGCGTTCAGCTGACTCAAGGTCCAACTATGGTGTTGTTGAAAAGCTTTTGAAAACCTATGAAAAATCAACTGCGACTTCTCCGTGTAATGCAAAATGCTGCAAAGATAAGAGGACACAGGCAAATTCTGAATTCACCAATGGGGGTTGCGAGACACTGAGTCAGTATTTAGAAATGCTCCAGATTGAGCAAGAAAAACAAGAATTTCCAAGGAATTCAGCCAGGCATATTGGGCAGCAACTCAAGCAAGGAAAAGAGAGACAGAAGTTACCAGAGGTAAAGTTCATAAGAATGACAAAAGCAAAACAATTCCATTTCATAACAATCCTCAGACTTTAAAATGGGGCAGACTAACATTATATTGTAACTAATTATGTAAAAATAGATACTTTAGGCCAGGATCTGGATGAATCAAGAGCATTTCCTCTGCAGATTAAGAGTTGTGGGAGGGCAGGAGCATGTAAGTACGAATGAGCAGTGAAGACTTGCCAGATTCTTATCCCTGCTGGTGTTCTGCAAAACTATTTTTTTTACTACAGTGCAGTTATACTAAGATTGAGCTAGTGAGAGCTTCAACCAGGTTTTAACACCCTCTCTCCTTCCTTTAGCTGATGTGTTATGTCATGACTTCCCGTGGGGCTTAAGAAGACTTGGCCATGCCCCAAACCCTAGAGGTCTTAGATAACATTTTTCAGTATCCAGGGTGCTGCTTGGATCAGGATTACCTTGGAACTGCCTATGACAAAGAGTATTGTGACTCCATAAAGTTTCCAGTGATAAAGTAACCTTCTCTTACTCATGTCTCAGTTCCAGCTTCTCCTATATATTCAAGCATAGGCTCACAGAAACAGAAGAGCATGGCGTGAATAATTAATTTATATTTGGCTGAAGTTTATTTTCAGAAGTTTAGAAATACTGCCTTTGCCAACATTCTTTCTTAATGAAAAGACAAGCAGATGGTTTGGAAAACACTCTGTAAGTTGCAGGTTCTGTAAAAGTCCACAAAGAACACAAAGAGATATGCCTCTTGGAATCTCAATAAAGATAAGGCAGGTGTGTTTTGAGCTGGGAAACTTAAATGGGTTCAGGCTGTCAGCTGGTATGCCTTAAACTGGCACAAATTCACAGACTTCAGTGGAGCTATATAGATTTAAGCAGCTGAGAATCTGACCATGCAGATTTTCTTCTGCATGTCTTTCTGACAGCCTTGCTGTGATGCAATGTCTTGCTTAGCAGGCACATCTTTCCTTCAGCACAGAAATAAAAAAGCCATGAAGCTTCTGATTTCTTTTTCATCCAATAAACTTTTGAGAGGCAAACAAATTTTCATCAATTGAAATGGAGGAAAGGAATAATTATTTTTTCACAGGCTCACATTTTATATTGCCATTTCTGTCTGTAGAAACTAAGTGTAGAATACTGCCTGACCAGGAGTTACCATTTTATGTCCAGCAGAATTAATGTCTCAGAGATGTAAAGAACTACATGTGGCTTGAGGCACCAGGTTTATTTTCATTATTTCAAATTTACATCAATGTAGCTATGATCAAAATCTGTTGAGTTTCCTCTGCATCTCTATGGCTCGGCTGGTAGACATGACATTGTATTAACACATAACCATTCTGAATTAGTTACCAAGTTAAACAGCTTCACACTGAACTAATGGAAACAGAGTTTCCTGAAATAGGATCTATCAAAAAATACCTGAGAAGTATGTAGATCCTACTCCAGCAATATCAGATGGTATTCTGAGTACTACACTTGGAATATTTTACAGCATTCATTGACAAAAAAACTTACAGAAACTAAAAGATAAGAGGAAATGTCAATTTTGCCTTGCGCTATCATTTTATACGTTTCCTTGTGTCTGACACTTGTCTTCATGTATTTTAAACCACAACTGATGTGAGAATCCCTGTACATAGAAATAGCTGTTCTTTTGCATTCTGTGCATTGCTGCGCTCCTTTTAATAGCTTCCAGCCACCTGTTCTGAGGTCACCGCAAATGTCTTCCTGCATTCCCACTGCATTCCACAAAAGCTGTAACTTGTTAAAGCAAGGACTTGCCTTTGTGTTCTAGATATGCGTGCCAGTGAAATGTTCAAGTGAGAAGGGCTTCTCCCGTCCCGCTCGGCCAGCAAATCGACGCCTACCTTCCAGATGGGCATCCAGATCCCCTTCAGCACCGCCTGCTGTGAGAAGAGCAGTGTACAACTCTGTCTCCTTTCGGCCTCAGTAGTCTGAACCCAGAGCTGGGTTGGATGGTGTTGTGAAAGCTCTATGCCTCACTATAACTGTGTTTGGTATGTGTCGTAGCAACCAGTTCCACACTGTTGTGTTTTGTCCAAGAGTGACCCCCACCACATGCCGGACAAAGCATTCTGAATCTTAGGTCATCATCACCATGGTCTTCAGTGTTTTTATTGAGACGAAATAGAGATATCCCTGGTTTTCTCTGTTTTTTGGGTTTGTTTTTAAATAGTTCACAAGGAATTTCTTTTGAATGGCATCTTTCTCAATTTTTTGATCAATTTTGAGTTGAAACAATGTATAGTGCTGTATATTCTGACTTTTCTGCAAACAGCAGAATGTAAAGCTGTATGCATGATCATGTGTTTGTAGGTGCATGTGTTGGACTAGGAAGTATACTGGCCTGTATTTAGAAGAGACAAACTGTGCTAGTGTTGACATTGAAATTACAACCTATATGCCTACATATATATATATATATATATACTTTGTGTTTATTTTAAAAAGTTTGAAATATACAGTCCCGATGACATTTATATTTTGTATATCTTTTACATAGGTTCACAGGTGTAGTATTTAATGTAAAAAAACTAAATATGCATTTTTTGTGACTGATCGCAGTGATAATGCCTTGCACAATATGTATCTGAAGCAGACTAGCTTGACTGATTTGTCAGTCATGCTTCTTGGCATCCTTGTTCAATTTCCTAACCCTAATGCTAGGTCAAAATTCCCAAACATATTTTTTCCGAATTAAAATATTATATGATTTGTAATACATTAGCCTTTTTCAGCACCAGAGACATTTCTGAAATGTTCCAAACCCTTTACAAAGCTTAAATGTGCCATTATATGTATAGCATACTGTAAACACTTTGGTAGATTCAGCTACTCTAACATACAATTTATGAAGGGAAGAAAAGAGTTGTATATGCTCAATTCTGTAAAGCTTATTTTTCCTTCTAGCATTATACTTTGAGGTTTGGCAAAGTCAGATAACAATGGACTTGTTTACTTTCACTCAAGGCAGGAGAACAAGCATCGTTGCTCCCAGTGCTGCAGCCACACTCCTTTTTTACTCTTCTCCTAGACTAGAGTGCCTGAGCCACTTGCTAATTCCCTGCTCCTGGACTGACTCGTGGCAGTCAGTTATGAAGTTTACTTGCACTCTGACAACAAGCTGCATCTAGTAGGGAAATACTGCATCGAGATATGATCACAATGGTGCCCGAAATCCTGACACATGGCATTGCGACTCTGCTGTTGCTATCACTTGACTTGGTATTGTTTGCCGTCTGAATGACATGCACAGAGCCTGGCTTGTTCCTTCTCACAGAGTGAAAGAAGTATGGATGCTGCCCAGGCTCTGAACTTTCAGAAAGACAGTGTCCTTCATCCTGGAATTTTTGTACCTTTCGTTAGGCTGTTGCTGGATACACAGTGCAGTAATGATGACAAATGTTACCTTTAAACAACATGTCTAGGTCAGAAGGAGTAAAAAGGTACTTCTTCAACATCAGCCTGATCTTGTCTGGCAACTTTTCTTCTTCTGGAGAAACATAGTGTGTTCAAAGGAATTTCAAAAATCATCCCAGGATCCATTAATGTGCACATCTTCTTATGTGAATGTAAAAAGGATTTCAGAGAGAGTATAGGCTTTTGTCCTAGTGAATTGTATATGTGGCAGTATAGGGAAAATTTAATGTGCTTAATTTGGTAGTGATCTGTTGTTCTATTCCAGTCATGTTGAGAATTCACACTTTTTTTCTTCCTTTAAGGACCTTATTCTTCTTTCCTCTGCACAATTTTGATTTTGAAGAGAGAGAAAACAGGAGGCCCTGTGTTCTGAGCAATAGCCTGTGTGGTAGTATTGGTAACAGTTCAGGCTTGCAAATACTGCAGTGAGCAGGCATTAGAGCCATAAATCCCAATTTATCATGCCATTGTGGCTGTCTGCTTGGCCAAAAATACACTCAGAATAATTTGCTCTATCTAAACTTCTGGTCCTTTCTAGGTCTATCCCACAACACATGAAGACTTCAAGCAAATCAACAATTCATCAAAACTTACTCAGACATTATTGCAAAGTTATTGCTGGAATAGATACAAGGACAGAAAATCTTGAAGAAAATTCATACAGTTTAGATAGAGACAAAAAAATCTGTCTGCTCAAGTGAAAAATCAAGCGTTCTATAAATTTGACTGTTTGCCCTAATTTAGAAATTGCACTCCATTAGCTTCCTCAGCATTAGAAAAATTAGACATGATTCATGCTAAATTTGGAACATGGTTTAATATTCTATCTAACTGTGGAAATTAACAAACCAAAATACCTTGCAAATTGACCTTTTAAACGCCTAAGTAGCTGACCAGCTTTGCATGCCTAATGCTGAGGAAAGAGTAATGCGAGAGAATTGTAAAAAAATGTGGTTCTTAACTTCAGTCACTGTTGACTGCAAAAACACTTCTTTAAATTACTTTCATGGTGAAGTTAAGCACTTTTGTTCTGAGAAATTGTGATGCAGTTTTGTTTGAAGTATGTAACTCCAAAAGCATTTCCCTTGATTAGTCAGTGAAGGTGTTTCTTTAGTTCCCTTCAGTTTCTTTGGTTGCCTTTGACATAGACCACATTGTTGAATCACAGAGAAAGGATCAAATACCAACAACATTCCCTGATGTATGTAAGTTAAATGAACAGAAGGTTTTTGAAATAAACTAACAGGTCAAGGATGAGTCCATTTTGTCAAGATTTTCTGTGTCTGTCTAATTTTAGACATGGGTTCTGATGCCTAAAAGTACCAAAACTGGTGATTTTGGTCTGCAGACAGCTAGTTGGAAGGCCTAACTTTAGAAAATTGCCACTGTCACTGTTTAAATATCCTTTTCAACTGCACTTTTAACAGGGCCAGTTGACTGTGGTGATTTTTCTAGTTCCCATAACAGTGGTTATTGAACCACAGTAAAGGCTTTATTCACTTATTTGCTGTAGGGGGAAAAGCTTCTTTGGACTTTCAAGTTCCCCTCTGTTGTTTCTGACAAGGAAATCTACACATATACACATGCTTGTGCAAGAAACACAAAAGATCTAAGCATAACTTGATCTTCCTATTAATCTTAGTGTCACCAGTGGAAGTGGTGAGCTTTGTAAGCCTGTTTCTGAAATAGGTTTCAATAATTTTACTCCTCCATACCCTGTCTGAAGTCTTAATGCAGATATATGTTATTCTTACTTGCACTCTGAATTAGTCTCTCCTTATTGCATGTCTTAGTAACTCCCTGCAGACAGAGAGTCAGCTGCCCATTGAAATGGGGATGTCACTAGGAATCAGATGTCTGGCATATAGTTGGCAAAAAGCATCATTCTCCCTCATGCCAGGACATACAGCCATAATCTTACCAGACCTTTTTATGGAGGAGCATGGCAGGGTAGAAGCATACAGAGAAGAATCACTCAGATCTTACTTGCATATGTAACAGAGCAGGCCACCTGGAAGCTAGAAAATTGGCCTGATTCGGACCCTCTGCCGGAGGCAGAAGGAGTAGAGGACAATAATTCCCTTCAAAACCGCTATCATTCCTCAAACTCCACTGTTCCTCAAACTCCAAAGAGTACCCTTCCATTAGGTGATTTTTCTTTACTATGTAAAAGTGACAGACTCATGTATCTTTAAAATACTTTAAAATAAAATGTTGCTGAAGGAACGAACTTTATTTTCTAGCAACAACACAATTGTCCCTCACTATTACACACACTGTAAGGCTGTTATATGTAGGAAAGGATTGGCAATCAGTGTAATAGAATTTTCCAGAGCATTCAGAACACCAATTTATTTCTCCAGTTGTCTATTTAAAAAATTGGGGTTTTAAATAGGGATTTTGTATCCAAATGTCTTCAACAGCATTTTAGCAAAGATCTACAGTAATCCAGAAGGCAGGCCCAAGAACTTACACAATTCTCACCATGCTGCTACGCAAAGAATTTCTTCGGCTTTAAGATCTGTAATGTACAAGTCTAGCCATTTCATGCTGATATTCTCAGTAATGGTATTCTCATTTGTAATGGTGTCTTTAGTTGTGTACATGTCTTTACACTGGAAGGTGCTGTAAATGCACTAAATCAAAGCCCCTTGTTGCTTCTGGCCTTCCCACCTCTCTTTGATTCGCAGTGTGTACTTCTATGTGGTTTAGTGCTGTTGGTCTGTATGTATGTGCCATACCATAGGCCTTTCTATCTGTACTGCAGCAAAAATATGTTTTTTGGACAGGCTGTTCTAAAACGTGCTGATATTGCTATTGCCATTCACGAATACATTAGATCTTGATCTATTGTTTTGCATCACTGAAAATGCACTTTCTTCACTGTTAATGGCATACATTATACAGAATTTGAGCTTTTGCTTTTTGAAATGACTATTCATCTGCTTTTGCACTTTGGTTCTACCCCTCTCCCTCAGACCTCTTCTGTTGGCAAAGTTCTTGTATCAGTAGAGACGTGTTTCTGATGTGTCCAGTTGTTCCAGTTGCTGCGTGGCCATGGCAGCTCATACCTAAGGGTGCCTTGCTAACTGTGTTGCTCTAGAAAGAATTGTACTAGAATTTCCATGGATACGAGAGACTGAACCATCAACATGATCAAAGTGAATGTGTTGTTAATGCCTTTTCTCTAGTACCTCCTGTCAGCAATGTTTCTGTTAAAGGGTCTGGAATTTGTTTCCTCCTAATGGTGCATGTTTGTGTGTATGTATGGCCAAGATTCACTGAAAAATGACACTGTAGGGGAGTCCATACATGTTATATCTTAAAATCAGATTATCTAATGTGTGAGCCCAAAATATAGTGGTCTATCACATGAGATAATTTTTCCCTTTACTGTGGAGTAGATGCAATTCCAAAATGAACAGTGGGAAGAGAGCAGGCCCTGCACAGGTATGTCTAAGGTATGTCACACAAGTAAGCAAGCTTTGCTGGCTGATATTATTGGGTGAGTTAAAATCTCTTGACTAGTCAACTCATTAAAGCCAGGAGTTCTTTAATATTAGATCTCAGTGAATGCATAGACTTCTACTAACCTGCTAATGTATCGCAGGGAGTGTAATGCTGAGGAATCTGATTTTGATTGCCCCTCCACATGGAGGGAGGCCATTGGCTGTGGCAGATGTGCCTGCACTTCTGCCAGTGCCCCTCAAAATTCCCTAAATGCGTTTGCTGCAGCTAGAATAATTTCTAAATCATATTCATGGTAGGAAAGGACTGTCATTAAAGAAAATTGCAGTCATATGTGAACTCTGCAAACATGACACTGCCAGCTGGCATGGTGACACAGAAAATCATACTGAATTTTTCTTCTGTATCACAAGATATCTGCAGCAGGTCAGCTGTTCTGGTACCATATGTGATGTAGAGCTGCTTAAGATGTTGTTGGAAGAACACCACAGCCAGATATGTATGTACATATGGTGTGCTTGTTTCTTTGCAGAATCTTTCTAGTTTCCACGAAATTATTCTGATTGTTTTGGGAGTTTGGGATTTTTTTTTTCCAAATTCAGCTGAAGACACTTGACCTACCCATGCTGTTGCTGGTAAGTTTCATAGAAGTTCTTCTGAAGCCAAAATATCTACTCAGAGAGTAGCTGGCTACCAAAGGAGGTAAGACGGTGAGATGCAAGTTGAACAAGCCCGTTCACAAACTGGCTCATACACTCTTACATCTTTGTGTACACACACACACAAACACTTGCACACGCACGCACATCTTAGGAACTTTTCTTCCAGAAAGTCCCACAGTGTCCAGGGAAGCTGTTTTTTGCTGTAAGACACTTTACTGCATATATGAGCACCACAGTCAGATACATAGTACATACAGAAAAATGATGTCTAATATTGTATGTAAAGAGAATCCTCCCAAAGAGTGGTACTGAAATCTTTACATAAAAATAGCGTGTGACTTAATGGAATCCAGCAGTTTCTGAAAGCCCAATTTCATGTAAGCAAATGCAATCAAATCTTTTAATGAAAGAAATGTGCTTATGCATGTCCTCTTTTCCTTCAAAATATTATAAGCCTACCTTACAGCTCTGATCATGATTTTGCCTCTTGTACTGCAGGGGAAAAAAAGAAACAAAGGAACTGAAAATAGAGAAAATAAGAACAATTCTCAAGCTTAGGCACAGAAAAATGGCTGTACTGGTCTCCCTGTACATGGATGAGACTTTGTCAGTTTAAGATTAACAGTGTTTTCCATGCAAAGATCTTCCATTTCTCCTCTGCAGTTTTACTCCTTCCTTCCCTCTCTTTCCATCAGAAGGGGACCATTCGACCACCTTAGAAGAGAAATAGGCCTGGTAAAAATAGTTCTATGGAGGGTTCTTTTCACTTTCCAGCTTCTCTTCCACAGCCCTCCAGAGCTGCAAAGCACATGATGTTTCTACAGACCAGATGAGAGAAAACAGAAAGATGGCTTTAGTTATCTTTCTGCAGCAGGCACTGCATAAGCCAGTTTGGGGCTGAATAGCTTCATGTGTCCTTTTTTCTTCTGTAGTATGGAAAAAGCTTTTTCCTTTTCTGTGCAGGAGTCTGTATTCCTTTCAACCACCTTTTGGATGGATTTCTGCAATTTTGGTTCATTTTACAGCAAAATTTCACGGCAGTTGGGACAGAAAGTGAAGAATTCCTCATTTACTATTGGAAGTTGGCCAAAAGCTGAACTAGATGTACAAAGGGCCAAGACAAATTTAAAACTGTTTAAAAATCTCTTGCCAAAGTGATCTGCAGTCACCCCACCAAGGTTTTTAGAAGTGAACTGTCTCTTTAAGCTTGGCTCCAACTTCTTTCTCCTGTAGTGAGTGGAGAGTGGATGATGAAAGTAATTTGCAACATTCAGAAATGAAGATAACAGTGGTCTGATGATTTAAGTAGCATTATGCTGCTTGCAAAGCCTCCTATGAGTTATGTGTCAGATATTCTGTTTTTCCTAGAATGCCATTTAGTGCCAGCCTTCATGTATTTTGGCCTAGACTGCTGTCTCATAGGTTGTATACATTTAGGTATGTCTGGGAGACCGAGGCTCATGTAATGCTGGGGCCATCACCTCTGTCATCATTCAAGAAACATTTGAGGAAATCAGAGCTCACTAATTCCAAATGTCTGCTTTCCTTTTATGTCTCTATACACACAGGTATGTACACATCATGGATATATACACTGATCAATTTTTTTTTTGCCTCCTTCTTGTTTTTGCATGGTATGGAAACAAGAGTGGGGCCTGTACATAGTCTTATAGTCAGTCTTAGCTAAAATGGAACAATCAAGGGTGTTATGCTGGACTTGGGATCCCAACCAAAATCCCAATGAAAGGAAGTGTTGTGACATTTCAGGGTAGGAAGTTGAACCAAGTAATTTATCATTTCTTTCAGCTAAAGCAGTCCTAATCCTTTCTCGTGATATTTTGTTCAAATATTATAAGTTTGCATCTGTCTTTACAGGACTAGTGTGAATATATATATATTTATTTATTTATTTTTTTTTTTTTTCCCCCTACCTACATTGTCCTGTGGTTTGAAGAAAGACAGGCTGTAGATAAAGTGATGCCTTAAGTTTTAGCTTTCATATTTTTCAGATTCTGTACTGAATTAGTACATAACTCTGAACTTCATATAAAGTGGTAGCAAGTTCTCTTCACAGCTTAGTTAGACAAAATCCTTTTCCAGCGAGAATCAAGGACACCATTGCAGCTTCGGGCCCAAAAAGTGTAAACAACAGCAAATTGAAGAGAGCAAACTGGGAGGATGGGACCCCATAATCTGAAGCTGTAATTGGACAATTAACTCCAATATGTAAATGGACCAAAACTTACAAAAGTGTGAAAACTCGTGACCAGTCATCCATCTCGGGTATAGCCTTGGCCAGCCTCTTCTACTGCCCAAGGTGTATCCTTTGAAGGCCTTTTAATAAATACCTACTTTATTCATTTGACTCTGTCTAGCCTTTTTTTAGATAGCCTCTCAAGGCATCAAAAGGACTTTGATTAACAGTGAAGATTTCTCCAATTCAGGAAGATTGGATCCAGTCCATTCACTTGGCACACAGAGGTCAAATTTGAACTGTGTCAGGAATATATCGAAATCAGAGAGGAGCTGAGTCTTCAAATTCAGACTTTTGGTTTATTTTAATTCCTACTTGAACCTCCCTAAAATCCAAAATCAAATCTCAGATTAATCTGCCAGTCCTGATGCTTCCCACAGAGTTTGACATTGAAATGACTGAAAAGAGAAACTTCAAATTTTACATGCATGTATAAGTATTAGCAGTGTACAGTAATAAATCTCACAGCACTTCATGCAAGCTCAAATTTTCCTGCTAATATTTCACACTGGTGATCAGTAGCCTGTAAGAACACTGTGTAAAAGCCATGAACCCATAGGGAAAACAATAATAAAAAACAGGAAAAAACCAACAGGAAAAAACCAAAACAAATAAACCCCACCCAAAAACCCCAAACAAAAATCCTTGCAGAAGAAAGCCACATGTGGAACATCTCAGCTAAAACAAGGAAGCAGATTCCACCAGCTTTGCTGCACGGGCTTCAACTCTGATGACTTATTGCTATAGATGGATATAAAAAAGGAGGGGTCTCTTCCTGCTGTACAGAGGAGCATTAGATGAACTTTTATGTGCTCATTGCTGGATTCCAATGTTTGCACTGACTTTCCTGAACAAGCAACAAGTGTCAGAGCTGAACTGAAATCAGCTCTTGTGCCATAAGTGGGTACTGATGTCATTAGCTATCATCTTTGCTCCAGGATTGCTTGCTGCTGCTACTAACCAAGAAAGGCAGCAGGAAGAAGGGGTCTTCTTGACACTCACAGCAAATTTAGGGTTGTTTGAGGATGAAACTCACAATGTTACTTGTCCTAAACACTGTAAAAAGCCCAACAGCTAACTTCTCTTTCTGAAACAGTGTACACACCCACTCGCTGCTGACTAAAACTGTTTTCCATGACTGTGATATTACCCACCACTGACTTTCTATATTACAAGAGAGGCCAGCTGCCGCAGGTCCGGAGTAAGGAAATGCCACTCTTGGTTTTCTTATTCTTTGGCAGAGACACAGACAATTTGGTTTTCATTACACACACAGCTTTTATTTTTAAGTTGGATCTAGAGGAGGGGCTAGTCACCATCTCCATCACTTCAGACAGGCTTTGATCTGCAAAATTCTTTAATGCTATCACACAAGAAGTACTTCTGATCACTGCACTTTGTTTGGAAGTAGAATAAAAGATTGTGATCCAGCTAAGTAATAAATTTGGAGGTTGGGAAGACCACTCTTCTCTTTGCAAGCTGCTTACAGTGTGAGAGAATGCTAGATATGAGATGTTAGAGCATTGCACTGTTTTAGTGTTTTCTGCAGTCCTGTGGAGCAAGCATAAACAATCCTGGTTTTGAAGCACAGGAAAATGACATGGAAAAAGAAATAGCAGGGAGCTCTTGACTTTCTGGGGGTAAGTGGGAGGAAGGAATTGAAGCAGAAGATGGAGCAGACATAGCTATAGCAATGTAAGATGGGCTGTGCTCTTTTCTACTGCTCTTTGAAGAGGGAAGGGGTGAACCCTGCACCCATTTTACAGGCCAAACACTCTGATGGATGTAAACCCACCTAATGCTGAGGAAGAGAAAACCCAGCTGATTTTGCATTGAATTTTTGTGGTTCATTCCAAAAGCTCATCCTGGGAAGGTGAATGCCTTCTGCAGTGGCAAAGGAGGCAACTGGTGAGAGGTGATCTGTGCTACTGAGCCAGAACAATTGTGCTTGTTGTGATGGCTCACTGGAGCTCACAACATTGCTCCAGTCAAAAGATATTACTCTGCCATTAACATGCCTTTTTTGTGGTGCAGAAGACTTTCTTTTACCACTGCCCAGCAAAATTGGTCAAATCTGACAATGCACCATCCTGGCCTGAAATAGCACACAAGGTGTTCCTGGGCACACACTGCAGCAGGTTGGTTTGTTATGGTCAAAGGCAGAACAGGCAGGTAAGGTCAGAAACCAGTCCCCAGTGAGCTGTACCGGGCTAGCCAAGGGCCAGTGGCAGGTCTTTGGCTCAGGTGATGAGAAGACAAGACCTTTTGACGGAGCTTTGCATCCTGCTTCTCCATGGGGGAACATCAGACTCTTAAGCCTCTCTCTCTTCCCTCCCCAACATGAAATATCAGGACTACATTGTATTACCAGTAGATCTCATTGAAGACAGAGGAGGTACCTTTTGCTCTACCTAGACTCAGTTCACAGGGAGTAATTTACTGGTTGGGTACAGTCTGTATTTTCTTTCACAGATTAGCAAGGAAATAATTTTTTAGAGATTTGGTCATTATCCCAAGTAATTTGATAACTCTGTCAAGCTTATTCTACATTTCAAACTGTGTAGCAATTGGGCAAATAGTTCTCTAAATCTTTATTTACAATATTGAGACTCTTTTTCCAAAAGGGATGTATGCTCTCCTGTGGCACCTCCTTGTACGTATATGTCTGGTCTAATGACTGCATGTTACAGTAAGTTTTCTGGCTTAATCCAGAGAATAGGAACAGTATCAAGATAGATTATGGGACTGTGACTCTGGGGACCTCTTGTCATTTTTTTCACTTACCAGGACCTGCCTTAGCTATCTGGCTCAAACCACTGGGTGAGATTTCTCGAATAGGGACCTAGGGCTTGCTTATTTCTGCTGGAGTGAGTGAGGCACTTTCATGGCTCTGTGGGCTTCAGCTTGTGTTCCTCTTGTGCAAAACAATGGTTATAATAATGCTTTCTTTGGCTGACTGTTCTCTTTAGGTTATGTTAGTGACTCTGCAGACATAGAAGAGAGACAACAGGAACTTCTTTTTGGCCCTGAAGGAATAGTAACAAATCCAAAATCCACTGAGATCATTAGAAGTCCTTTCTATCTTGGAACATGCCCTGTGTGTTTAAGATCAATCTTTTATCTAGCATTTCCTATCACTAAATTTGTGAGAGATGAGCCATGAAAGAAGGACCTGAACAGACAAAAAGAGAATTCTTTCCTTTGATTAACAAATATCACCCAGTTACACTTTGGCAAAATTTCCTCAGCATTAGTCCTAGTTCTGGGAAAAAGGAGAGTGTCCCAAAGGTCGGCTCTGACAGTGCATGTAAAGAACTGCACTTGCTCTGTCATGAAAAGAACTTACTATCAAGCTAGGGGATAGTTATTAAAATGTTGCTGAATTTACCATATAAGGCATATTGGATTCCAAGCTGGACTGGTCTGTGACTGTCAGTATGATTTAACAGATTCCATGCATCAGGTTCTAAATCTGCAATACTTTATTCTCCTGCCCCTGATTAAGGTCTTGGATCCATACAACTCTCACATTTAATTGCACTGTTCTTGGTTAAGAACACATCTTTAATCAAGTGCTGGGCAGCCCCTGTTAGCACAATCAGATGTTCTAATGAAAGAAAGGAATTGTAGGTGTTGCCAGCAGAGCTCACACAGAGAATGCTAAAAAGGCAGGCAAGCAGAGGGCTGGAAAAGTTTCTGTCTCTTCTCTTTAATCACCCCTCCCCTTTCCTGCTGACATTTTCTGACTCAGTAGAAGCTGCCAAATCACAGATGGCTGTGGGGCCTGTGTGAATCAGAATAAAACAAGGAAGCTAGTATTTGGGAGAGATTGGAGCAGTAACAAATAAGACTGACCTGATTATTCGAGCATGGTCGGACATAATGCCAAACTGCATCTTCTGATATTTGCTGTGTGATTTATATATCAGTATATACTGCAGGATACAGTCAAAAAGTGCTGCATCCCTTTTGTCTCCTCTGCTGTGAATCTAGTAGTGGTTTTGTGCTCTGAACCTCCTAACTTCTGAATTTTGCTGTATTGGTTATATCAAACACGGTTTGGAGTGGGCAGCAATACCAAATCAGATGTTTGCTTCCACAGCCATAAGCATAGATATTTTGTTGCAATATTTTTTAATTGCTAGGCAACCAATAGTCCATTTTTATATGGTTGTGCTATTGCACACTGGGACTTGTAGTTTCAGCCCTATAGCAGTATATGGAAGCAAAAGAATGACACATTGTTGACAACAGTTCATACTTAGATTCACTCTGATGTT